TGAATATGACTTTGAAGCCTTCAGCAGGCAGAGGCTCGACGATGTAGACTTCCATTTCCACAACGTATGGTGTGCTGGGTGGAAGTGCAATCTTCAGTCCAGGTATTCCGTAAAATATGTCGGAGCCATCTGATCTCCGTAAGGGAACCAGAGCATCGCTGTCACTAGGCTTGACTTTAAAGGCAACTTTCACCACTTCGGCGCTATCATTGTCCTTGTAGATAGTGACCGACGTTATTTCAGATCTTGGAGTAAAGGTAACTTTCAAGTGTGACCCTGAATACGGGTCAGCCACATTAGGGGGGCTGTTTGGCTTCCAGATATCGTCTGGACTGACAGGGTTTCCAACATCGTCGAATCTCTTCAAGGACACGGGATCGTAATGGTCCAGGTTTTCGTCGCACAATATCTCGGTTGTTGTTTGGACAGTTGTACTGGGAGCTTTGGTAAAAAAAAACAATATTACAGGATAACCAACAAAACTACAAGCATGTATTCACGTGTTACATTCAATCCAATCTACAGTACATCAAGGAAGCTGAATACACGAAAAACACTCAGTGTGCAATAAGCAGTTTTTCGTGTAAAAAGAAAGATGCGATTTGTCCTTCTCTTCTCAACATTAATTATAGAATTCCAGGGACTTCCAATTACAGATGCTTTACAAAGGTACTTGAGCAAAATGCACAACTTATCTAAGCCTCTTCCCTGGGGATAAGTCATTTTAGATTTTCCTGGCAGCTAATTATAAATCGCCAGCAAAGGCTACTTCATGCACAACTTACTTCATCATTTCATTGCTAATAAAACAGCAGCAGGAACATACCTGGCGTAGTTGTCGGTGGAACTGTTGTCGTAGGAGCTGTGGAAATATCAAATAAGAGTAATGTAAAATAGCAATGGATGTGTCCTGTGAAACGTACCTATTCATTTGAATTTCCAATGACACTGCTAAACCTGCAGTAGTAACGTACCTGCGGTATTTTCATTAAGCTCGAGGAAAATTAATGAATAAAATTCACTATAGGCCTAGATATCTGGGTTTTGGAATTTCATCGTCTTTTCAATCCTTGAGTACTCATGAAAAGTCCCAAATATGCCGGAGTGTAAGACTTATCCAATTATTGTCCCAATACAAAACACTCTCGTGATGACGTCCCTAAGATGAATACAATTATTACATGAACACACAATTGGAGCACAACAGGGACTGTTAATGCGGGGATCCTCATTTTGTATATTAATTACGCTCGAGGCTGAGCCCGAGAAGGTGCTCTTTCATACTTCTTCTCTTATGTTGCGCACCAGACCCGGGAGCGGTTTTTTTTTCAAGGAAGGGTCAGGGGCAATTGCCATATATGAGTGTGCTTAACTGCTAACTGCAAGCTCGATCAATTTAGCGGACATTTAGAAACTTAAGTTAAATTTCGTGCTTTGCTTTGCTATTATAAAAACGTCCTCTTACCAACTAATCCCCCAAGAAAAAAATGCATACATGCAGACTTGAACCCTTACCTTGCCGCTTACTAGTCGAGCGCTCTTAATCTTTTAACTGAGCTTACCGTGCAACTGGCCGAGACAGCAGTTTTGTTAGATGGTATGCTTAAAAGTTTGTCCACCCTATTTATGATAATTGCCCCAAATATTTCCACGAAAAACGCGTGCCAACGGTTTAGATACGGCCCTTTTATAATTACCCCTTACCCTCCTAGGTAAAAAAAATTACAAGGTTCTGGAATGAGAACGGGCTTCCAAAAGTGCTCAGCAATTTACTTTTTCTGTACTCTTTCCTAACAGCATTACTGAAGTAGCGGCCTAAATTATCGGCTTCTTGAATGATCAGAGAATCGGCCGGGATTGATAATTATTGGTGAATTGAATAGATTTGTGGGCTTTATGCATAGAACATTCCCGTTTCACACGTGCTTCTTTGAGTTCTGGTGTACAAGATCTTTCTACCCAACAATATGATGTTGATTACTTATGTATTGCGTCCCGGTCTGTCACCTCCGGGTTGCGTCGACGGCAACCGTTCTGTACGTGTATAGTGCACACTGATTCATACAGTTAAGCGGTGGTTGTACACTAGTTTGTGATGCACGATTCCGGGTTTGATACACAATATCTTGTATGTCCTAAAAGTCTTATGTTATTGTGTGCACACAGTGGCACCCATTGAGGCCACTGCACTGTAATAACTCAAGTGATAACTCCTTTCTCATGGGTGTTACAATGATAGTTATGTAGCCTACATGCTAATGTACCCCATCACATACTTAACACATGTATGATTTTTTACATTGTGAATTTTATTTAGTTATGTAATGTCAATGTCATGAATTATTTTCCTGGGATATTTTAATAGGGGACGTAATCAAGATTGAAATAAAACACAATCAAGAAGATAGATAGTGTCTCTAATTCACCTCTTGGAATCCTCTTACCGAAGGACGCACGTCCCACCCACCCCAGGGGAATGCGCAGCCGCTCCTTCCCCGAGGGATGTTGTCACCCGGCGTCGCCTTCATGCTTACAGAAATGAGGGAATTTTAGGGTGGTGGAACGTGTATACACAATCAACCACACTTTCATTCCTATTCATCAACAACTTGCGGTTGAAAATGTTAAGATTAACAAGGTAACTCTCAGTAGTCCTTTTTATACACTCTACGTCATCGTTTGATTTTTTATTGACACTACTAAACAAGCAACAGCAACATACCTGCCGTAGTTGTCGGCGGAACTGTTGTAGTAGGAGCTGTGGACAAATGAAATACAGCGTTAATCAATTTCGAAAATTCAACTATTCAAATTTTTAATAGAAAAAAGTGTTTCGGCATGTAAGCAAGCTTTTCAATTCTTCAATAACAAAGGGAATTCCAAACCCTCCCAAAATGTGAAACTCCTCTTATTTTTAGCCCATACCCAACAAATTTCCTGATAGAGCACCCCTATTCAGATGATGAATACAAGTATTCTGTGAAAACGCAGTCGGATCAGGGATTGTTAATGAGGGTAAAACATTACCTCATTACTGTTTTTATTGACACTACTAAGCCCACAGCAGCAACATACCTGCCGTAGTCGTCGGGGGAACTGTTGTAGTAGGAGCTGTGGACGAATCAAACAAAGTGTTAAATTAGGCTCGCGAAAAATCAACTCTTGAAATTTCTAATAAATCACAGCGTTTCGGCATGTCACCAACCTTTCAATAGACCCATAGCATAATGGCGTAACCACAGTGTTTACTGTGGTGCATTGTGGGTGAAAGGTAGGGACGACAGTCACCACACGTAACGCTTGCTGTAGCTCGAACATCATGCTCATGAAAAATTCCTCATTTAAAACCCACACAAAGCCTTTCACAGATTTTTTTTTTATTCACTTGCAGTTGAGGAACATCCCCTATATTTCTGCCATCGTTTTAAGTCTTCCACTGTATCTGACTTAATATGAACAGAACAAGGTACGCGTGGTGCATCTAAAGTCGCCCGATGGCTCGCATGACTGACAATCGTGTCCAACACCTTTGACTGATCTCCACGTTTCTCCCTAATGCACTGCGGTAAACACTGTGTTACGTCATTATGTTTTCGGTCTATTCTCAAAAAAGAAAGCAAAATATACAATGTTCCAGAAAGTGACATATTTACGATTCTTCTGCCGATACACAACAACTGTCTGATAAAGGATATCTATTCATAAAGGATGAATATAAATATTACATGAACAACCATTTGGAGTGTATCAAGGAGTGTTCATGAAGGAATAATAGAGTAGTGGAACATGTATACTCAATTCACCACATTGACCCATTCATGAACACCTCTTTGTGAAAGATGTTAAATGTTAAAAAGTAACTCTCAGTATAGGCTTCATACACTGTACCACATCATTCTTTGTTTTTCGTTGACACTAATAAAACTGCAGCAAGAACATACCTGCCGTAGTTGTCGGGGTAGCTGTTGTAGTAGCTGTGTACAAATCGAATACAGTGTCCATTAAGCCAGAAAAGTCTACTCTTCAAATTCTTAATAGAGAAGTGTGTTTCGGCATTTAACCAGGTTGTCAGGTTTTAATAATAGGACAAAACATCCACAACTTGCCCGAAATGCAGCACGCTTAAAATCCTTCTGCCCATAAAAACCTCTGGATATTGTCCCCCCTATTCAGTTAATAAATGCAAATACGAAATGTACACCCATTGGCTGTGCATCGGGGATTGTTGATATTGTATAAAAAGTACCAGTGCGTCAATTTGGGTTTTCCGAGCAGCTACACAGCAACACTGGCTACTTCATGTAAAACGTACTAATCATTTCATTTTTCTATAAATGCTATACACCCGCAACTGGAACGTACCCGTCGTAGTTGTCGTGAGACCTGTAGGACTTGTGGAAATCGAACAAAGCATGCATTGAGCTCGTGAGCAATTAGCCTTAATAACGAAGATTCCGACACTCTAACAATTCTTGTGCCCATACATAACAACCTCCTAATAAAGGCCCCTGTTCTTAATGCATAAAAATACTCCATTGACACTCGGTTTCTCCTACCTGTTTTTGTTGTAACAACTGTCGTCGAAGGGACTGTAGGTGAAATAAAACAAATCAATGGTAACTATTAGGCCTACATCGTAAAAGTCGTTCCAATTGATAATTTTTGGAGTGTGCTATTTATCTTTTATTGGGTTGTTTTTACACTTGGCTTATCAGTTTCAATTTAGGTTTGGCCTAAGAAACGTCGCACAGAAACTTTCAGACTGCAAGATTCCACGAATGCTGAACATGCCACTGAACATAACGTTTTTCACATAAGCCCTTAGAGATGGTGTCCAATAGCACAGATTGCATTTCCCAATAGCAATTCCCACTCTTCAGTGATAATATTACCCAGTTTTAATGTCTTACTACTTCACAATGAATATAGTTTTCATCTTAAACCCCTATTCCTCTGCCCCCAGTCTCTGAAAATGTGGAAATATCATTATTTTTTTGACCATTTGAAATGAATGGATATGGAATTACCTTTTGAAATGCGTTTGAATTGAATTTGAACGAAAAGTCTGCTGATATCTGGTAAACACTCACTAAATGCACCAATCTTTGCAAAGGAAAGTTTAAGGACAACTTCCCCTAATTCTTTGTAGGACGCATATATGTGCAAACCTATTTCTCTCTCTAATTCAGAAGTTTAAAACTCATTATTACGGTTAAAGATTCTTCATTCAAGTGCCCGGATATTATTTGTAAGTAGTCCTTTACCGGCAACAATGAGGCAAATTTTAATTTTGGAAGAAGGGGTGGAAACCACTGTACTAGTTTCGCAACTTTTGATGTACATGTAAACTTTAATGAAATTTAATCAAATGTTTTGATGCCCTTCATTTTTAGATGTTTATCTCGGGAGGATACTCACCTGGTGGTTTACATTCGCAGCACTTCGTGTTGTCATTTTCATTCAAGTACAAATCTTCACCCTGTTTAGCAAATTAATGCAAACATAAGGATTAATGTAAACCTCTTCTGTGATCACGTCAATGTGAGCTATTCAGCTCACGTGTTGGTTCTAGCAAAAGAAGGACCGTAGGCTGTTTTGTATGTGAAACATATTGGATGTGTAGAACGTAAACCTTTTTAGAAAGTAAATTTGAAAAGTGAAGTGAACCCGACATTTTCAGTATTATAATCGGCTAGTCCTCTGAAGAGTGTGTACAAGACAATTATTTACAAAAACTCACGAATATTCTCCGTCCTCATTCACTTTTCTTTATTTATTTCTAGTGTTCTATTGCAAACAGTACTTCAGTATCTTTTTAGTTTTACGCTATGCAGATTTCATATTCATGAGCAAAACTCCGGGAGAAAATTTCAATCTTGCCTTTATTTGGGCACTGCAAAAACAACTACAACCATTCGATATTTTGCAGCCCTATATTTTCTTGTAATATTAGGGCAACTAGCAATCCTTTTTCAGAAACGTTTTCAATACGAAAATTTTGGATGTACAATTCGAACGAAAAACAGTAAACTGTACCAAATTTGTTATTTAGCATGGTTAATTTTAAATAATTTAGTTAAATCTAGAAAGATGGCAAATAGTTTTGACACGTTTACGAAGGTTTAAGAAAACTTTCTTTGTGTGGAACATTACATACATTTTTAGTACTTACTATTGCACAAGTGATGGCACATATTTTCTCACATGTTGGTTTGCTTGTGCCGATTTCACACTTACAGGTCTCGCAGGCACCATCACCAGGAAACGGCTGGTTTACCTAAGCAGGTAAAGGAAATGGCACTTAAAGTCAGCAACGAAAAAAATAATGGTCCTGTCTGCGTGTGTGAAAAGATGATGGTACAGTGACACTTCGCCTCTGGTGACTTGCAATAACTCCTAGTTGGAGCATAAGAAAAATCTGTCCTTTTTATGTCCAACAAAGGTTTAATTGTGAGCGGACATAAGAACATGACCAATTGTTCAGTTTGCTTGTCAGTTGACTGGTCTTTTCACACAAAGCCTACAGCTGTAGAATTATTTCTTCATTCTGACACTAGCAAGAGTAACGATTGTCAAATAATAACACAAGGTTGACTTATCACGCAGATATGGATAAGATACAAACTCTAAAAATGTCTTTTGTAGTTTGTCGTCAGTGATCCTTTTTCCCCGTACTGGACTCCGACCATGTCAAGTGTAGGTGAATCTGGCAACCACTTTAACACTACAAGTGTCTCCAATGATTTGCAGCGGCCACGCCAATGGCTAAAAACATTATGATAACCCTTGTAGAGTCAATTATGTGACTGTAGCTCTACAAAAAGCTCAACACAATATTTCAAGCTAATGATGGGGCCATTGGAAATGGCCAGTGAACGGTTGCTTGCTTTGTCTAAACGTAATACTTAATAATAGAGTTGATGAATTTCGAACATTTTACCGTAGAAAAGACATGAAGTATTCCGTTCCATTACAAAACTATTTCCATAAAAATCGTAGAAAATGTGTTTCCAGTATGTGTTCGTTACTTACGGGATACGTTTTATTGCCGTAAACGCACTCGCAACTTTCTTCATCCGAATAATCATCGCAGTTGTTCTCCCCATCACACACGTCCTCTATAGCGATGCACCTAGAGCAGTCGTAACACTTAAACTCGCCAGGGGGGCATGTGCAAGGCGTAGTTGATGCCAAAGCAGTTGTTGACGGTGGAGTGCCTGGAAAAAATTCGAGCAGACAACTGAGAGGCAATTCATCCCTAAGGTTCGAGCTTTATTTAACCACACACTTCGTCAACGTCGCCAGAACGATGGATGGTTTACACCATTTCGTAGGCCACTTGAAACCAAGCCCTAGCACCTGGTCGCACCTACAGCTATCAAAACCAGATTTCAGTAATCGGTATGGGGGAAAATATTCTCATGAAAATAACTGTACCTCCCTTAGTCATTCTTGTTTTACTCCGTTGCAGGTGTGCATTGTTACAAAGCCACAGTCCAGACATCGAACCATAATTAGCACTCTAGTATGCCCAGATCTTCCGCTTTCTTTCACATTACAAATGTGCTTTCAATCAACGATACTTTAGGTGGCTTAGGCACCAATTAACAAGCAACGTATTCTGCTAATCGTTTCTTTCAATTCTGTGTAAGAATTAATTGGAGATCTTGCAGAATTACCAGATCGGCGGCATCATTTTTTTTTGCCATTTAGGAAAATGAAATCAAAAGATAGTAGATTACAGCATTGATGACACTTACAAATTATACGAATATGCAGCAAAACATTTCATGTACTAACAGTCAAATTGTGTGCAGCAAAAGTCTTTTTTAGAACGCTTACCCGTACAAGTGGCGCCGCTGCATTGCATTTTGCCCCGAATGCATTCGCTGAAAAAAATTAAACAATTCCACAGGAAAGAAATTACTCCCACATCTACGCAAGATCTAGATATACTCAAGACTTAAACCAAATTTTGAATTATAAGCAAAGTTATTGTGTGTTTCAGTCATCTAACTACTTTTCAACTTTTGCCACTTTAGACATTGTTGATAAAAGCCACCGTTAAAGGTTTAGAATTGTAATTGCAATACATTCACTGACCCGAACTTGAACTGAATAGCACAGAACATAAACACTGACCATCTCATGCAGTCCACGATTACAACAAATCCCGGCGGTACTTCTTGGCCGTTGTAGATGCAAGGACACTGGACGTCTTTCACGCACTTCCCCTTCCACAGTTTAGTGCCTGGTGGACAATGACATCCTTCCACACACTGCTCGGTGCAACCGTAGTCTTCTTCCGTGGCGTTTTCGTAACATCTATCTGCACAGACCTTCCCGCAGGGTAGATACTCCATGCCGTTCTCACACTGCAAACCTTTTAATTGAAATTTTTATACTGTTTCAAATTCAACGTAGTCCCTATGATAGGTTTAAACCCCTTTGTTTTCCTAATTTCCTTGCTTTGTCAAGCAGCCTCAGGGTTGCTGAAATAGTAACCTCTAATGTCTTAACAGTACAATATTAGTACATATTTTCCGACCATTTATCTTTTGTATGACTGCATGCAAATGTGAAGGCATGGTTAAAATAAGGGGATGCCATTTAATGGGGTCAACGGCAGCTCAAGTGGCCTTCGTGATAATCAGGCCAGTAATAATCTTGATGCCATCAGGCCAGCCTGCTTCAGGTCTTCCTCTGTTGTGTTTCCCCTAAACCATTCCTTAGATGACTGTTTTCTGAAGGCAGTGGTGATGTCTGGTGGCATGGCCAAAATATGTCAATTTTCTGCCGCCAATATTGGCCCGCAAGTTTTCTGAACTCCAAGCTTTTCAAGTACTCTCTCATTTGTTTTCCTCATGTTGTTCCACGATTCCTAATGGCAAACATGTTCAGACGCATCACTGTAATCGGTGAAGCAGAGGTAGAGAGGTATGTGTCTCCTGCATTTTGTCAATGATTTTTCTAATAATCATTGCCAATGTGGTCTCTAGTGCCTCTTCCTCCCCTAAAAACCGGTTCGCGTCTTGGCTAAGTCTCAAGCCTTTGTTTCATTCTGTTGTTAATGATAATAAAGGATAATTTTGCAAGCACTAAAACATAGTCAATCTGATTTCTTTCGAGGCCATAAGGATCTCTTCCAAGTCCAAAGTCTGCGATGATTGTGTTGGAAGTGGTTGTTTCCAATAATCAGATCGTCTACTTGACAAAAATCTTTTAAACTGTCTGCATGTTCATTTCTTTCTCCCATTCCAAACATTACAACGGTTTTTGATTTGGTATCTGACTTGCCGACTATAACAATTTTGTCTCCCTATGACTGTAAGCATATTTTTGATGGGAATATTATCCAGAGCGTCTTGGAGCTGACCATAAAAGTCTTGCACAATTTCATCAGCGGCAGTAGAATTGGTGGATTTACTCAGATGTTGAAAAATGACCGAGATCTGAGAGAGATGACACTGTCCCTGACTGCATTGAATCTCAGGATGGATCTAGCTGCATTCCCTGTTCAGAATAAACAGTTCCGTGTTCCCTCTTTCCGCCGATTTTGCCTGAATATACACTTGTGTGTCCATCATCAGAAGTGGCCTTGGTGAAGCCAGTATGTTTATGAGATACTAAGCACACAAATGTATTGTTCCTCCCTTCTAGTTGTGATGATCTCCAGTTTTCCAGCAGTCATTCCTTGTACGTTCTACGTACCTATAAGTTGATGCTTTCTCAGGCTCATGCTGCTCCTTTTCATGCTCAGGATTGGCTGCAGAATACTCTGCGTCATTACAGCTGTGCCTAGTCGGAACAACATGTTCCTCTGCCCAGGTAGCCGTTGACGCATTGTCTGGCCTGCGGGTCTCACGTCGCATTCAAACTATCATGGTCAAGAGGAAATGCAGTGGGTGGCTTGGTCATTCTGCATTGACAGAGTTGCTGGGTGGCGGTCCTTAGCTGTCTAGAGCTGACGCCCTTCAGATAGATCTGGTTTTTCGTCCCATCAGGATGTCCAGTTGCCCTCCTCAGCAGTATCAAATCGATGCTGGTGGGGGGAGCTGGTTTAGTCACCGGCGACTTGCCACCCTGAGCATGTGTTACAGCATGCAGCTTATGATTACGAGTACCAGGTCATGTGATCTGACCTGATATTGCTAACAGGTTTAATAAAATACCAAATGAAGAGGTAAAACTGCAGACCTCCTCAGCCTGCAACCTTTGCACACCACCTACATAAAAACTAAGAGTGTTAGTACACGGTATCATCACAAAGAATAAAGGGTCCATTCCACCACAACTCATCATTTGTACTCCCAACCAGACAGAAATTAACTTACCGCAGTTGCCAGTAGAACGCCATGGAACCTCCACGCCAAGAGTGTTACAAACAGCAGCGTAGTTGCTGATGGCGGTGCACATACACTCGCAGTCACCACCCCTGTCGCAACCACAGCTGTCGAATACGCAGTTGTCATGGAAAGGTTGGGGGTCAACCTTTTGGGTAGCAATAAAACAACCACAGTCTTAATGAGGTGCCTATTTTCGACAGAGCAGCGTAACTGCCTAAGCAAATTTTTCAGCGAATTTAATTCCTAATTTAATTCCTAACTGTTTGGCAGCCACTAAGGTAAGTGCAACGGTGCAATGTCAGGTTCTGAAATTCAGAACTTCGTGCAAAATAGGCACGTGTACAAAATGATACATCGCAGAACAACATCTTTCGCTAAATGAAGCCAGGGGACGGAGAATTCGCCTTTTGGTTAGAAAAGTAATTCTACATCAACAAAATAAATTCTCGATCACTGCCCTTCAAATTGTTGTGTTTCTGGTATCATTATATGCTCAATCAGCCAACAAAGAAATTTCTGTTCGTACTTGATGCACTTGACTGCTGTTTATTTATGGAAGAAAAATTGAAAGGAATGATATCCTTTGTGGTATCTAAGTATCTCCACGGCTTACCAAATTGTGACACGGCGAAAACACAGATTTTAGGATGATACTACACGCAAACCGCGCCCAATCCCGTCGCCCAGGGTTAATATCGCAAGGGTTGACAGGATCTGGGGGTTCAGGACAGCTTTCAATCGTCTTCCAACTATGGCCAAATGCGTTCGGTGTGGCCTCTATTTCACCGCCTCTGGTTCTGAAGTCGTTCAAGGCGTTGCCATCAAAGTCCCCGCACAGGCCACACACGCGTCCATGGAAGGTTCCATCTAAGGTTACGTAGACTGATGTGCCAAAATCCCAAACCAAAGTAACTCCTACAGGCACGAACAAATGAGAGTTTATATAATGAATGAACCCATGACAAATTTCTCAAAGTCAAGCATTCTTCCAATTTTGTGTTAGTATAAGGAGAGCAAATTTTGTTCAGGTTTTAACACGTTGTTGTAAACTACAACCTTCATTTTGTGTGGGATAACTTCGTGCAGTTAATCAAAAATGTCAGAATTCGGGGCGGGGAACAGGTGAAAAGACAGTAACATTGGCGTGTCCAGTTCCTGGGCCTAAGGGGCATTCCAAAATGACTGACCATGTTTTTCATCCAAAAAGGGCGCATTTCAATAAAGGGTGGGGTTTCAATGCGTTTTGTACCGTATTATCCTTGATCACTGGGCCCAGCAAAATCCGACAAACCATCTCAACCCCAGGGAGTATGCAACCTTTGATGCAATCATTTCAGTTACTACTACCAGGTAAAGCAGCCACAAATTACCCTTTCTATCTCCTCTCACAGGTAAAATCCCTAAGAAAACAACACCAGCAAATAAAAGTAAGGATATCGGGACCGTGGTTAAGGCTTTCGATTTTTTTTCTCCACAACATCTTGTTATATGAGCCCGAAGACGTATCGCTTTTGGATTTGCCACTCTTGACCCCAAAAGCGGGATACACCACTGATTATTAACCGCTAACCCTCTCAAAAAAGGGTCAACGGATACGATATTGGGTAATGCATAATGTAGCCTAAAAGAATACTTACCGTGTCGAGTATTGATGATAAGGAAAATACCCGACCGTACAAAGCGGTATTTGGCTGTCGTTGGTGTCGGTGGTGGAGGGGTGATGGCTGGGTCGGCACCTCTCACGAGGAATATCTTAACATCGAGAAGAGTGAAAAGAATGGATTTGGTGCAAGTCACCATACCCAATCCACAGGGGACATTCTCCACGACCACGCTGAAAACACTGGTCCTGCCATCCTTGCCGCAGTCATCCGATGTAAAAACGTAGCTACAGTCACCTTGAAAACCATAAGGAACAACCAGTCATTGCGAAGACCTGGGTAACTCAATTTAAGTTTAGCTTACCCTGTGGTAACACCCTCAAATATACATGCTGGTTCGTGTTAATGGTTGAGCACTTAATCACTCCCGCGTTATTTGTCTATGTATTCCGCCTCAGCTACAAATCTGTCTTCGTTCTTATTAGAATCAACCATCAGATTTGTGTTGTGGGCCTCCTTAGGCCTTCGCCACGACCAAAACCAAATAAACGGAGGCTTACCCTGAAATTCATACTTCCGGCCATCAAACGTCATGTAATGAGGATCTCCATATCCTCGACATGTCGCTGAATGCAAAAGAAAAGTACAACTAAACTGAACAAAAATTCCCGCCTGATTTGACAGAAGAGGAATTGATTTCTAACAATCACCTTCAAGCTGGCTGTCCCATAGTGACCACTTCTATTTTGACTTCCCAATGTAATACCTATAGAAGTCACAAATTAATCTACATGGCTGAAACATCACACACGGACAAAATAGAAAAGCACATGACAAGTTTCTTATCAAAAATTTAAAGGTTTCCTTATCTTGTTTTTAAACATCCGAGAATCGCACCACTCGTATGATATGACATAACATCAAAAAGTTGGACAGTGTGCACTGAAAAATTTCGGAAACATTTGTCTTTTTGTGTTTATTTATGGCTACGTGTACGTCTCTTTTAATGTGACCAACCAACTTTAAAAGGTGTAATTCCGTGACATTAGAAGCAACATGTAGGTCATTGTGTTCTACGGGCCGGGGCATCTCAACAATATTTATGACAAAGTTTGGAAAGAATCAAATTCTTTATGAACAGGAGGATTCTTTGAAAGGTAAATAAAAGAATCCACTTGTCACAGACTGGTCTGGTTTCTGCTTCTAATGCTCCAAGGTGGTGCGACACAATTACAAGTAGGCCTAGACAGCAAGTTGAAGGTCCCCGTTGCCATTTTTAATGTGTATACCATTGGAGTTAAATGCAGTCAGCCAGGTTTGTGACGTTTCAATGTTATACTTTGAGGGTTTCTAAGATGACAGAAATGCTCCTTAATTCCATGGCCGAAACGGGGTACGGGAATTTAATGTTATATAGATATTCCCCGTACGTTGAATTTGTGAGACAGGAAAATTACGATTTACGTACCTGGGCAAACTTTCTGCTCGCAAATTACTTGGGCAGTTGGGAGACATATGCTACGGTAGAAATAAAATAATAACGACGTTTCAGGCATGATATAGTCGATAATAATCATTCCAAATGAAGACAGGTCTATGTATGAATCAACGCACTTTACATAAGGCCCGTTAAAGATTAACAAATATTACCCACACTATTAATACAAACAAGCGTACTATGCTCTTCCGTAATTGCTAGTTGATGTGCAACATTCTATACAGATGACGGCATTCCCTTAGCTAATATCTATTGGTGACATTTTATGCAGTGGTGTGAGAAGTGAAATTATCAAAACATCTATACTCAACTAACACGTTCCTTCATCATCCAACTTTTCGGAGCCTTCAAACCAGCAAAACTACGAGATTTGGAACTGTTTTAAGCAAAACTACCCGGAATAAACAATAGTTCAGAAATTGTACGGAGAAAAATATACTCCTTCTGTAAACAATGACTTTTGCAATTTAAGGGTGAAATCACAGTGCGAACTCCCCAAAAAAGCGATATTCACCACTGTCTGCAATCGTCTTTGAAGAGTGCACCAGGCTTGTAACTCTGCCCGTTAAAGTAGCACGGACACTGGCTCTCAGGCATGCACTGGTCATCGGCGGTCCGAACTGTGCCATCTGGGCAGCCGCATCCCGCCGTACAGGCTACGTCTTTGCAGGCGAGATGAATGGTTTCACATTCACGCTGACATTCCACGCAATTGATATACTGCTTGGTTCCTGTGCATTCCTCACCAGCGGCTGCAATAGATTCATGAGCATTTTATCAAGGCTTCTAATAAGAAACAAAAGAAGTGTTTAACACAATTTCAGACATATTTTTTGCCCAGTTATTCAGATTTTATCCATTTTCAAAACCAATGGAACTCGGTTCAATTATCTGTATTGACTTTTTTTAAGATATAAGTCAAGTCAAAAAAGGGCTTGCCCTGTGAAGGATACAAAAAGTAAATGGCAATAATCGTTGCTCAATTTCAAATGTCGAAATGACATTGTTTTAAATACGATAATCGAGAAACAATTGAGATCGGTTGAACTTGCATAACATTTGTTTGTAAGGTGATGGAGGGACAGAATTTGGTTTTTAGGGTCCTCATGATTTTCTTACCAGCACAGATTTTTTCAGTACACTCAGCTACACCAGTCTTGCAGGTGCTGAAACACAAACAGAACACAACGACAACGCAACTTAAAATGATGACCAAATACAGCAAACGTTCTGTGTTCAGCTAGGTCTGTCATTACAAGTGGTCACCGCTTCCAGAAACAAATTTTGTTGTGGAACGCAAAACTGAGTTTTTAGAAAAAAATCCCTGATTGGTCATGGTTAAAAAATTCTTCAGAAATTAACTTCAAGAGTTGATCAATGAAGTATATTGGGCACAAGTGTGCATCTTAGACCATAATATCAATCCCTTAAAATCGAAGAAAACGGTATCCGCAATGCCCGTACCGTTACCATTGCGCGTGCCAGTTGCAAAATGGTTACGTTTGGAAGAAATTTGTGGAAAATATGGTATGCCAAGCAATCTTTATGATAGAATTGACCTCGTGTTGCCGGGAAGACTGCTAGGTTATTCTTTGTGTCATAAATTTTGTCTAAGCATCAAAATCCAACAACTACTAGATCAACTGGTAAAAAGCAGTAGGTGATCCACTGATAATATTCAGATAACTCAATATTATGCAGACTCCATAAAGACTAATGAAAGCCATGTTTGATTCAATATTTCGTTCTTTATTCAGAACATCTTCAGGAAAGAATGTTCCTGAAGATGTTCTGAATAAAGAACGAAATATTGAATCAAACATGGCTTTCATTAGTCTTTATGGAGTCTGCATAATATTGAGTCAACTGGTAAATGTAACGTATTCTATATTTCGTTATCGTAAATTTGTATGGGGCTAAGCACATACCATACGTTTTATACAGTTTGAACTTTTTGTATAATTTAAAGGTAGTATGAAAAATGTATAACAATTTTAAGGCAATATTCAAATGAATTAGAATAAGACCCTTCGATTACATTCTCGACTTTGACCTGGATCACACGACTGAGATATTGGCTGAAATATAAAGCTACATCGGAAACACCATGATGAGTATACCCACCATTTATTGCAACCATTATTCCATGTTTCCCCGGGCCTCCGATAATGTCCTTTGACATAACACGAGCACTCCGATGGGGACACACACTTGTTTTCAAGGTTGTCATATAACTGCACACAAAGAATAAACGTTTCTGCAGTGTTGAACTTTAAAGCTGGCATTCACTTTCAAAACAATAGTCACTTGTAATTTTAAAAGAGCCTGAAACCACACCTTTCTTCGTGGCAATGCTGACAACAAGATATTAAATCAAACGGCATGTTTTGTGTTTGTGAGAAAACAGGGTTACATTTTATGCTATAATGTCTGGCTTAAGTGCCTTATAAATTCTTGAATACTCGTTCAGTGAAGGGCCCACGAGTGGGAGTTATTTAAACACTTTTTAGCTTCTCGATCAAAATATAATGGAAACTTACATTAACGGAAACTTAATGGAAAGTTCAAAGTCCAAGCTAATGTAAAAGGAATCAAACTGAGCAAAATAATTAATATAATCACTGTCACCATAATCATCGCCATTATCATCATTATAAGGTCTTTGACTAAACTGAAAATTCTGTTCGAGTTAAGCTTAGGACCCAAAAAGGATGCAAAGGCGAATGCGAATGTGTGTCATCAGAGCAGACATTCGCGTTTTGCAAAACCATCAATGATGAAGCAATCTGAACGTGAGCTAATGCTGCAAAACCATCGAGTTCACTTTTCTTTTTGAGTTCTTACCGTGTCACCTATGCACTGGCAACCCTGGATGCACTGCTCCTGACAGTCATCAGTCTTCTCAAGATCCCGACAAGTCACCCTGCACATGGACCCGCACTCTTTGAAAACCTCCCCCTCCTGGCACAGCGTCGTGGCTATAAAAGAGACGAACGCAACTTCTGTCACCATTTAGGGCAGATAGGCAGGCAACGGAAAGTGGGGTACTTTTTTCCAGAACTCCATTGGATCCAGACTTCTTACTCACTCTAGAAAGTCAGACTATGGTAGGGTCAAACTTTGTAGCCTCTCTTCATGTTCACCTTCGGATGTTAATCACTGAACACTTTCTTATCACTTATGCCTGTTTATCTTTTCCCAATCCTCATCCAATGCAAACCTTCCAGGACAGTAACAAATCAAGGCACATACGCAAGTAAATTCGTGCTGTATCTTTATCTCTGTTTTAAACTCAGTACACCATTGGTAGGAAAAGATGTTGTTCGTGGCACATGAAGAAAACACGTGTTCCAAACCAACTTGTTTTTTTTCGTACATATCAAAATGCCAAACAAAACTTACCACACAGATCTGAGCTTCTCCAGACAAGATTGACGCCCTCTTTAGCACACTCTAGAGCATACGCAGAAAATGCCAAGCACTCTGTCCCTTTGTAGTACTGGCTCTGGCAGTAGTCTTTAATGCACATGTCCCTGTACATCTTAGGGTCAACCTTAAGACCACAGTCTGTAAAAGGCTCCTGAGTCAGTTTACCACAGGTTTCATGAGCCATTTTTTTGTGGTAGCTATCTATCTCACAATAGTCGGTGATATCTCTGTCCTCATGCATTTGGCAAGATGATCTGGACTGCCATTTAGGGGCAAAAAGGTGTGACACCCGCGCAACAACCCCAGACGGTAGCTGGTAATCATCTGCAGTTAGTCCATTGAAAGTTCCACAAAGTCCTGCCACCTTTGCCAAAAAGGGTTCACACCATCATTGCAATGAAGATGAGAAGTAATAGAGGTGAATGGTCAAATTCGTGTTCTCTTTTATAATTCAAATCGATATCCTTTGCGTTCATGCGTATTTAATATTCTCTTGAGTTTCTTACACACCTTTTGAATAAATTGTGCATGTACATGGAGAGTTTATTTCAAGATATATTTTGTGTCGCGATAGTATTAATCCTTATAAACTGTTTTGCCCTAAAACCCACGTATATTCATATTACTGTGAACACAGCGTTTGCACAAGAGCTTGTGAAAAATTCAGAAGAATTACTCGAGTGCAACTCGAACCAACGACTTCCTGCTTTCCAGTGAAGACGTCTTAACCATACGACCACCGAGTTCGCCAGGGTTGGCTGGCTGGTCCGAGTCATATGTAGCACCGCAGTTTTATATTGTGTATAGGGGAGATGTTAATTTTAATAACCGATTTCGCGCTAATAGACAGTTTAATTTAGATGCCAAAACGAGACGAGTAAAATCAATTTATCTCTTTCAATTTTGTCATCGTCAGCAAAGTTCTTCCTCGAGGGTCACAAGAACAGCAAAGTATGTATTTTGATTCTCAGTTCATTTTTAGGGGGATAGCTTATCGACAGTCAAAACTACTAGCAGTTACCTTGTCAAACAGTTTTGGTGCCACTGAGACATAGATTCGGCTGTCGCTTCCCAGAAGCAGTTCGATGCCGAGCGTTGGCATGGACACTTTCGTGAAGACTGACGACAGACGAGTAACCAGGATTGTAGTGTTTTCAACAGGCCAATAATACGGCAATTTTATATCGTGTTGGAGCCGGTTGTGGTCCGTCACTTTGACTGCATCAGGTAATTGAAGTCTGTCCAGGTGTAGAAAGATACCGTCTCTCATTATCATGCACATCATGTGCACACACAAAACATGTCAAAATTCAACACGTTTGAAAAATCTATCTCCCATAGAATCGGATTGGGAATATAACTGTTCACCATGGTTAACCTACCCTTAATATGATTCTTGTCAATCGTGAGGGCGTGGCCAGAGCTTTGTTTACTCGCTGCAGAACCAATAATTTCCTTTCGATTGGGTCCAAACGGAAAGAAGGTTGAAGACGCTAACACGATAGCGGTCTTTTGGAAATATTTTAGTAACATTTTATTCAACGTTTTCATTATATATTTTCTATCTTATTACACTTAAGATCATTTGCCAATCCAGACGCAGCTTTTGAAATCTTAGGTCTGTTGCATTTTGTAATTTTGCAGGCGCTACGCAGAAGATCAACCTGTTTATGAACCAACGAAATAGTTTGATTTTTACAACTTATTTCCTAACCATACCAGTGTTCACTTCAAATAACACTAGTTTATAAATATTCAGTTTTCACAAATTGTTTACTAGTGTTCACTGGAAGTAACAGTAGTTTACAACAACGAAAATAAGACCAGTTATGCGCATGGGCGTAAATCCCGGGGGCGGGGGAATATACCCCCACTTTGAGTGTGGGGATGGGCTATTGAATCATCCTCCCACACACACCCACAAGTGTGTATTTGCCTGCAACTGGGGACCCCCAATTGTTCCTCTTTTGTTTGTACTTGTAATCGGGGACCCTTTGTCAATCGGGGACCTTATTGTCCTCTATTGTTTAAGGTCCCCAGTTTAATGCAGAAACAAACTCACACCCCCCCCGACACACACACCCACACACACTCTTTGTGGTGAGAAAAATATTAAGCGGATTGTGAAGAATTTTTCAGCTTTCCAACGAAAATGCATGCAATATCGCTCATAACAGGGAAACCAATTTTTAAAAGTCATAAATATACGATTCTCAATATTAAAGATGTACATCAGTATGATGGACATCGACCTCTATGTAGAGTCACATGGGTCATCCCCCACCCTGCTTTTCAAACCACTTGTTTTGCGTTCACTGAAAACGAAGTGTGTCGGCGGTCATTCGCGGACAGCACTACACGTGCAAGGATGGCCTTATCACTGCGGCAAAACGCAGACTCAGAATTCACTGAGCTTGTTCACGCTTGTACGATTTGTTCTCGAATGATCTTGCCTTTTTCAAATGTGGAACTGGTTGATTCTGATTGATATACTCACTCATGCAGACTCCCATCCGGAGTCTTGATGCTCAGTTTGGGGACATTCCAACATCGCGGCTCCAGCTCACCACACTCCGATTTATCCATGAAGATGCTGAAGGGTGGTCCCGATTCGGTCCCGTTCTGGACCAGCACGTACTCGCAGTTGCCGTCAAATTCGTAGCTTTTTCCCTCAAAGGTGTTGAAATAGTGCCCTCCAAAGATAGTGCATGTAACAGGGCAGGGATTGTTTGAGCAATCCTGAAGCTTGCCCTCCACACAGACACTGAGGAAGGAAGATTGACGAGTGAGCACTTACGAAACCAGGTCACAAAATTATTTTTGGTATACAAATGTTATACCCCGCACAATATGTGGGAAACAGGGACCCCTTTATGTGATGCATAATTATATACCCTAAGGCTAATGTGCCTACTTCACCAGCCCCCCCCCTTGAAAATCTGAAAGGAATTTCAACACAAAAGAAGACACAATAGAGAGGGGTCCCTTTTGCTACATATTGTGCAGCAAATGATAAGAACAGTATCACGGTGATGTCAATTATAACAATTTCACCTACATTCAATGGAGTGATTAAAAAGCCTAGGAAGAATGCAAAATCACGAAACTGTTGCTACACTATAAATGCGTTTTTCTTGAATCACTTCCATTTTCCAGGTCATTACTATATTGGTTACATTCTAATTAAACACATGATTTCACATGATTTCTCTTATCTTGAACAGATAATTTTTCTCAAAAAGACTTCATTCGCGCAAGTTGTAAACAATGAAAGAACTCGGGCAGAGTTCAGTGTCTCCCATTTTTACTGATACGCTCGGGGAGTACTTCCTAAAATCACATTCATCGCGACAAGCTTGCAGGAGTTTTTCTGATGCTGTGGGATCCTTTCACACGGATTTCATGCAAATAAAACATTTATTTCCTCAAAATTAGGACAGGCACGGACCGTTTACAGACTGAACGCGAAAACTGAACAGTGTTTATGCAGAGACCAACGTGAGTAAGAATGTTTGCGTGAATGCCCTGGAATGAAAATCCACATGATTTCAGACTGGATTATGTTTTGATGAATGTCACGTTCGCAAAAGATTTGGCACAAGAGATCATGGTGGTCGAATATCCCAAAAGAGTGCTCGAAACAGACCCTTTCCAAATAAATTTATTTGCGACGGCGCTTCTCCATCGCTTCTAATTCTGAGAGTAAATATGCTTACCAGTCATCACAGCTGACCTTCATCACAGAACCGTCCGGGTAAAACTCCCCAGCTTGGAAACATGGGCAATTTTCTTTAGTCACGCACATCTCTCCGTCAAAGTAGGTACCTAAATTGGGTTTAAAATGGCATACAACACAAAAGGATTCAGACGGATACTGCATGGGAAATATAATTTCATTAAACCCTTTTGTGACACTTTTGAACCCTCATCAGAAACGTCAATGCGTACTTCGTAATTGGGAATTTAAATTTAGCTTGGAACCCATAAAGCCCGGGGCTAAGCGAAGGAAGGGTGTCTGGAAACCTTTCTGTCCTTTTTTATCCGAGCCACAGTGAGAGACCAAACGGTGTAAATGTCATTTCGACACTAAACTGGCAATTTCTTATCGTGTTTGTTTTATTTCTACTGAATTATGATCACACGATTTAAAAAAAAAAAACAGTTGAGTTGGCAGTTGGCCGGCTGTGACCAAAACCGTCCAATGTGCTTTTTTTAATGTTATTCATCTTTAAATCAAATAGGGGGTTCTTTATTGGCAACTACTTTGCAAAATAACTGCAGACAAAGAGAACTATTCAGAAATGCAAAGTGATTGTACCCCTAATTAAAGAGGCTAGGAATGAAAAATGGTGCAGTTTTCGTTTGCGGAGGCAACCGCTAAGAAGCAGAGGAGGAGGATTGATATAACTTAATCTCCAACGAACGACAAGAGTTTTACCATATGTAAATGTTTGGATATTTTTTCTTCTTGATAACACATATACCTGATGTACACTGGCAACCTGGCACACAAGCATTCCCACAATCTTCAGGGTTGAAGTTCTCGCAGGTTGGGGGGCATGCTGATCCACATTCTTTGTACACCATACCGTGGTCACAAGAGACAGCTGTAAAGGAAGACATGCGACATAATACACCTTTGAAATCGAATTTCAACCAGATTAGATGTATAATTACTTTTAATAAGACTACTTTTTAATATAACTTGTGTTGCTGGTATTCTTTTGTGTTTTCTATGTGCATGTATATACTGGTTGGCTAACGTTCTTCGTGCCAATGGCCGATTTATGTGCATACTTGTAAATTATTTGCAGAGTTTCATTATTCAACACACAAAATGGGACTCTCGTCAACTATCAACACACTCTTAACTGATTTTTAAAAAATCAGTTTCCTTCAATGAAATGCTTACCACAGGTGCCGTTTGGAAGTTTGGGTCTCCAATCGACATGCAGGCCAATCCTGGAACAGGACATTGAATATTCGGCGTAGACATCACATTGGCCTTGCTCGAAGCTTGATTTTTCGATTAGAGCCCTCGACAGAATGAAGTAGCACGAATCGATGAATGGTTTTACGTCGCTCAAGGACCTACAATCCTTGAAAAAAGGCTGAGAGGCAAAGTCATCACAAGCCTTCCGGACTTTCTCCTTGTTGGGCATGTCGAGGCTATCGAAAGGGTTCAGCAGTGCCTCATTTACTTTTCTACAGGCGATGCCTTGATCCAGATTCAATTCGTTGACAAAGCTCTTGACAGAACGGTTGTGGAGATCGTTTCTGGGGTCCAAGTCGTAATTACCACATAAGCCGAACTTATCGTTCCACTCCGCTGACGATTCGTGGAGGCTGTTGACTTCAATTACCGCATTGTTGTTACCGTCGAAAAAACACTCGGGTCTCTGCATGTAATTAAAATACATAATAAAAACATTCTTCGTGGTTCTTTTATTAATGGCTATAGTGGGATGGCATTTATACATTTCGCCCAGAAAGCACCAATTTATGGGAGGGCTACCTTAAATAGGTCTGTTCCTAGGGTGGGTCGGTGCCGTCCTATTGTGACGGCGAGGGGGAATTGAGGGGAAATGATGTTAGGATCCAGCAGAAGGCATAGCCCTCTTTCAGCGCCATTTCGATCCTTACCATCAGTTCCGCGGCACACCTTGTACACCCCTTCTGGGTTGATCGTGATACCAGATGAAGTCTGAAATGGTAGGACCACACTTCTGTGGTTGACGTTTACTTCTCCACCGGGCAACAAATCTACAATCGTCGTGGAATCCCTTCACGCAAATTAAATAAAGAGTCAGAAATCAAGTGAGCCCAGAAGGTACAAAAATCCTAATGGCATTATAATTTTCCCCTTCCGTCTTGCCTTCTTGGATCAATTGAACATTTCTCAATGTTATTGATTGGGGTAGGTCGTAAATTCTCCTGATCGCAGCGTTAAAGTCGCCTGCACTTGGAATTTGTGAAAACCATGTTCCCCTCCAAATCAAATCAAAAGGTACTTGAATGTGAAATACAGTGAACATAACATTTGTGCAGCACACTGTGCTTGCCGAAGTCCACACCAATCTCATCACAAACTAATACCCAGTCATTAAATCGTCAATTCCCTCTTTGGGAAAAATGAAATCATAACAATCTTTCTTTCACCCAGCCGGCTCCAAATATCAGTCATGCACTGCCTGTATAAAAAATGGTTGACGTGTTTATATCAGAGGTGGTAGCAAGTCAATTTTTGCAAGTCCAAGTCAAGTCATAAATCAATTTGAGCAAGTGTAAGTCAAGTCAGAAGTCATTCGGTCCTGTCACATGTCATTTGATCATATGTCAAGTCAAGTCACAAGTCAGTTTGGTCCGAACACAAGCAAGTCACAAGCCTTTTTGTCCAATTAAAAATCAAGTCGTGCTTTATTTTATCTAGCTCTCATAAGTAAATGGGGCCGGGCATCAACTTAGGACAAGGGTTTTGGACAAATGAACTTAAATCGCTTGCCTAGTTACACATACACGTACGAACTTACACTTTATTGTGCGATAACGATTTCTATGTGTAGAAATATACAGTATATACTGAACAGTATATATACAGTAATACTTTTTAAAAAAAGTGATGTCAAACGCCTGCCACTGTGTCTGCACAATTACATCAACATGACAATATGACCGCCAGTAATTGGACAAAGCCCTAGTTTCTATTCATTAAATGCCCCTTTCTACTGTAATAATAATTACAACAGACTTCCTGGTCGTTGAAAACAGTGGTTTTTAAAAATCTACATGAAAAGTCGTCTGCGTCCGAATTTTCACTTGGCTACGACCTTAAATTACACACGACCCTGCAGTATTTGGCAACTGCGGTCACAGATGGAGTTGTTAGTCATGCGTGATTTCAAGCCACGGCCAAGCTATTCAGACGCGACTTTGGGCAGGCAAGACAGTCGTAGAGGTCGCGAACCGAACGAAGTCTTCCGCCGATTATCTGAAGAATGCGGTAGTTGATAGGGCTAATTTAAAACTGTATTGGGTTTGATTTAGTAGTTTTCTGACCTGTTAGTAACAAGTCATAAAGTGCAAGTCCAAGTCAAAAACTGACAGTTACAAGTCAAGTCACGAGTCGCAAAAATAGCATCTCGCGTCCGACTCGAGTCCAAGTCAAGTGACTTTAGTCTACAACTCTGGTCTACATCAAAGTAAACTGACCTATGACATGATGTCGAAAGGCCCAATAAACAAGATACTCACTTGCCATTGGGACTTATACTTTATTGAGACGTATTATTGGGACTTAGGACAGGTTTCTGTTTCACCAGAATATTGGCGATCCAACAGAGTACTACAAGAGCTAAAGTTGACAATCAGAGCCGTCCTGATGCAGAGGGATTTCGAGATCCAGTCTACATTACTGTCAATACTTACGATAGAGTCACAGCACTCTTGCAGTTGTCGTTGATGCAGCTGTAATTGGAAATGAATTCCACCTTGAAAGAGGGCGTGCGTGCCATGAAATGGCGACACTGCAGTGGGTAGTTATAAGCTAGTCCATCGAAGGTTCTCACCGAGGAGCCACTCCAAATATGACAATGCCCTGGAGGGGAGAGACACATCTGACTTTGTGAGTAATCATAGTCAACTATAATGCTGTTAATTATATCATTCTTTTCAGTAGTCAAATAAGCAATAACTCTCCATCGGGTTTCTCTTAGTGTCATCACGCAGGGATATTACAATATGACTATAGAGTTGGCGCCTGCGTCCGCAGAAAAATAGAGAATCCCTCCGCACGCTTGGACACAAGATTTCACTAATTGATCGTAATGAATCTAAACAAAGGCAATATAACGAATTGTACGAATGTCAGTCTGGAAAAGAAGGGTATTTTTAGAAATCGTGTGAGTTTGTTCTGAGCGTCCCTCAGGCTTGGTGCAAGCTACAAGTGATTTCAGACGTTAAAACATTGAAATATGTCCATAAACCTACTTGATGACGTCATCGTGACGTCATTACCTGAGACAAATGTTTGCTTTAAATTCACAGATGTGATGTCTCTCGGCAAATTATTTTTTTCAAGGTTGAAACCGACCGTTTTAAAAATAAATTAATATTCAAAATTTGAAAATAAAGGAAGTGATGCCTTCATTATACCTCATTCCTAGTACGTAAATCTGTGTATGCATGCACCTACTCACCAATTTGTATGTGGATCATAGCTTGTCCATGGGTGTAATAATACAGGATCATGTTTGTGACGTCATCATGACATCCACATGACAAACAAACCAAAAAAGTAATCGAAGGTTTTTTGATGTGAGGATTTTATTGGGTTAGATATGTTGAACGCAAATTATTTGAAGCTGCTCAATTTAGTTCTGGATTCACAACTCCGTTAAAGGGTGACATTGATACAACGTCTTTATTATTTCTTGGTTGTAAAGAACATTTAATATTTCACTTTCAATTTCGCAACATTTCTCGTGCTAGTTTTTCTTGTTAATGCAGTCGATTTGCTGATGAAGACTTGCGCCTACTTTTTTTGGGTGGGGGAGGAACATTCGAAGTAACTCAAAATTGGTGGGTGTGGAAAGGTATCACCGCCATTTCGGTGTAACTATCTTTTTAAAAAAATAAGATACATTTAATCCAGATATAACTTTATACTTTACAGCCGATACTCTGAATCATACATGGTAATCAGCATCAATTAACTATAAGCTCCGAGCTGGACCAACAGAGGGCACAAATTTCGCAGTAACAGAGGCTCCTTTGGTCGGAACTGCACTTCAATGGTTCGTGAACGATTATGAAATGCACACGTTACACACAAGTTGCTACCAACAAAATGAATGCTAAAGTAAATTTTCTTTTCAAAGTAGGAGACTTTATATTTACCATTTCCATTGCATCTGAAATAAATTTAAGTAACCCAAAAAGTTAGATTTTTATGTTGAATTTTCTTTGTAAAGAAGAGAAAGCAGAGAAAATTAAGCAGAAATCGTATAAAACCTATCCATTTGGTGGATGGGAATCAGAGAATAGCGTCAGTGTCAAACCTATCATCGGTTGCCAATCACTGCTGATACAAATTCAGATCAGAAATATTTTTACAGTTCCGTTATCACGCCGTTATCAGATGCCTTATCATCAGATTCTGTATACAATTCTGCAAGATGTTCCTGCAACGGATCAATTTCAGTTTAAGATGAAATCAACATGCTTAGAAGCATCGCAACTTCAATGGATTTGCAGTTGACATTTGTCCTCTGCAATGACGTCATAATGATGTCAGCAAGTGATAGGCTTCCTGTTATATTTCAGAAAGTGGTAAGGCTGACATGTTCAAATTTGTGAACTATAATGTTTTCGTCTGACGTAAAGACAGTTCCAACATAAATGTCATTGTTAAACGAAATACATCTCTCGTGCGTTTTAACTTGACAAACGCTAATTTCTATTTTGGTAATGATTCAGGAAAGAAATTTTACACATTAGGTTACTGTCTTTAGGGAGACAAATTGTTGCTTATGATAATAAGCAACAATAAAAACTGAAGATAAAATGGGAGATACCTGGATTCCTAGTACTTACCATCGGGTACCCCTTTTAAAGTTGGCTCGAAAGACGGCAAATATTGCTCGTGTGGCTCTCTCTTATTCTTTTCGCTAATCGCATCTTGGAATAAAATACAGACGAATATAATCTGATGTAAGACTTTTGAGGTGATTTGAGGCGGCAAACATATCTATCCATAGTTACCTTTTCACATGTAAACATGTAATAAGCTGGTTTTGCATTCCACACGTACCCGACATTAAGTGAATCAGAGGTCATTTGGGAAAAGTCGTGCGTGTGCGCTAGGTCAGCCTGATCAGCGCGGCATACACAGATCGTGTTCCCGCCGGTGTGGTTTGTTCTCGAATGACCTGATCTTTTTAAACACCGAATTGGCTCATTAACGGACGGTCACTTGGGACTCCTTTGTTTTCCACCACCAACGATCAAAAACGTTTCCCCAGAAAAGAGGAAACTGCAAGGCGGCCACAGCAATCACTTGAAAGTTAGCATACATGTCAGAAAATGCTTGTCAGGAGACATCGGGTGCCGTTTTGGTTCAATCTCACATCCAAGCGAAGTTTCAACATTTTAATGATTTTTCCCTTTATGGTGTACGGCTTTATGCAACAATTGCTAGCTGTGAGAGAGTCTGCAAAAATCAAAGATCATAGTCCTCTTTTTTCTTCAAAGAAAAATATTTCTGAACAATTTCTAACCTTTCTAAAAATGAATGCCCATGGCATTATATTTCTAACGAATGAAAAAGATTTGCTGTATACGCACCCTGTATTAGCCGACAAACAGTGCTACTTAGACTGCATTTGCCCACGCTCTCGGAGCAACGTACTGACTTCAAGTTGTTGCAGAAGGCTGAACAGATGAAATGGGAAGGGTTCAAGTTCAATCCAATGAGAAATAGTTGTAGTAACAGTTTGACAAAACATCATCCTTGGTTGGTGTCAGGTTTTGCTCCAAAGTGTATGTTTGCCCCATTAAAGACAGACATATTTTTTATTTAGTAAGTCGCAGTATTCGTTATTACAGGTTTCATTATAAAAAAAACTACTAGAACACGATTTTCATTTGCTTTTGGTTAAGTCAGGCAAAAAACAACTGTGACGTAGAAAGTGAACGCTCTATCATCAGAACTGTGAAACGAACCACTGAGAAAAGACTTTGTGAACACATTATAGTCCAGGAGGTTCACGGTTAAGGCAAAGCGTGAATGGTTTAAAGTAACGAGAGTTGTTCTTTAAAAGTGTTATGAGTGTTTGAGGTGGCTGGGTTTAACCCCATCACGCTTGCGTCTGTATCTGTTCTTTGTTCTCTCCTTTTCCCATGAACACCAATTCTCAATAACACTTCCTCAAGACCAACGACGAATAAATGAAGAACAGTCATAATTCCAATATATGTGCGAAGTTTTGTCCAGCTTTTTTTCATCGTCCAAATGTAACTGTGATGTTCATGATTGCGGATAAGACAGATCTTTTGCTAGGGAACTATTTCCTGCAAGCAAAGTCATCTGACCTTTGCTTACATTGTTAAAATTGTGTTTCTCAATAACTGTTTACAAGAAATATCCCTGTAAAAATCACAATGTGTTATCGCTCAATACAGCAAACAGTTGTTGGTGAAGAGAACGTCTTTGTGCTGTTTGTAATATAAAATCAGCAACGTTTGTCAACAAGGTTGAGCTGTGGAAAGCTACCTTAAACACTGCAGTAATGTTCATTAACAGAGCGGCTCTGAGTTTGTGGCAGCGCCCTCTATCTAATAAAAAACACTGTTTAACTACGCCTTTGTAATTAAAATTGACTCAACAATCTCTGTGTAATAACAGAAAAAAAAGTAACAGTGCATGGGCTTTCAGAAGGTCAAAGTCCGGTAAATGTCAAATGCTGGAAATGGCTCTGGTATTCTAAAAATGGTCTAGGGGATAAATCTGAAATCAATTAAGAAGATAAACTTAGATGTTTAAGTGCTGAATAATTTCCTGCTTATTATGAGGTCATCAGACAATCAAATTATACTTATGTCAAAACTTGAGAGATAACCTTTCAACTAAATGAAGCACTTATCCAAAGTGTATGTTTTGTAAACAGGAGATGACTCGCAAATGTAATATATTTTCGAAACAAGATGGCAACAACAAACCCTGAAACTAATGTTTATTCATGGTGGGTAGCATAAATGCCAGTGGTAATAGCTTTGTTCATTTTGGCTGATACTTTGAGATCTATAAATCGTGGGTGTTTCTTATTCTAAACAAAGTTTCAACAAAATCCTAACCCTGAATCTAATGAAACAATTAAAAATTTGAGTATTAACCCTACAATTAGATCGAATAGTAGTATTATTACTTTTACAAAATTTTCAGATAAGTAAAAAAATACATATTGCTTTTACATAAAGTTACAAAGAAAACTTGAAGAAATAGACTTTTTCGCTTTTCGTTGGGATATGATTCATTTGCATTTAGGCTTACTCGTAACACCTTCAAATGTGCTGTTGAAATGCACTCTGAAGCCTTATACTTCAAATTTCCCTGTTTCATCGATTTTAACCTCCTGAGTTATTTGCCTCGAGAATTGATGACTGATGGAATATCCAAATCCTTTAATAATCGGCACAGCCTATAAAACCAATAGTTGCCTTAAATAAATTTTTTTTGTCTTTCTTTTGTTTTGTTTTGTGTTTTTTGTATTTTTTTGTCTGTCTGTCTGTTTGTTTGTTTTTGTTCTTTTTTGTGAGGGCCCTTTTAGGTGTTAAAAATAAAAGCAAGGATCGATAACCGAAACGTACGTATTCCACAGTGGTCGGGTTTGTTTTCGCCATCACAGCAGGCTCTCCTGCGAGAGAAGACAGACAAAGGCTGGGTAAGTATGTGAAGAAATATTCAACATACACTACGGTTAAACATTAGCATAAGTGACGTTCTAACATTCAGATAATAGAACTTTTAATTTTACGGGTCACAGATGAGCTAGTTTCTTTCTTCGCATTGCATCTTTAGCATTTCTCCAATTTCCGAATCATGGAATATTTATTGAATCGAATAAATGCTCCGCATCAATGAGGAATACTCAGTTTAAGTTTACTGAACGATTAAACAGCCGTGTTTATAACCAACGTGCTAGGATTGGGCTCATCCAGTATACCTGTAGGTTTCGTTTTTTTTCTGAAAATTTTAAAAATAAAATAATCTTCATTAAACAAGCATGTCACGACTCATCATGACGTCACACTTGCGTGCATACTTCGGTTGCAGGACTGATGTCTTTGTCTGTTTTAAAAAGAGCATGAGACTTTTCTGCTTTTTCGGGTTGAGATTTGAAAAAGTGCAGTTGTTCCTCGGAGACATTACGTTAAGAGATATTAAGACAGACTATGGACTCTGTTAAACCCGACGAAAGGATCACAGGATATGACACCGTGTAGTTGCATATCATGGAACAGATCGCTGAAAGAGCCATTCTGCCATCATTGACTGAGAAGAATACCAATTTAAAAATTAGTTTAAGTGTCGTTCAGAAAGCTTTCCGTATAGTTCTCATATTCGAAAAGAAATTTACAGCAAATTAGAACAGCAAACCCTCCATGGCTAGCTGCTTCATATGAATTTAAATTTCTCTACCTCGAAAGCAGCTCATATTAAGAGTCATTCATGCAAATTACAAATGAAGCTGCTGAATTAAACAAAGAAATCTTGCTAACCAAGTGCAAGCTTGCCACACAGTTTTTACAACCAGCAAGTGAAGAAAAATTGGCTGATAATAACTTCATCGTGGATGTAAAATGAATGGCACCTTAAAGGTTTCACCCCCTACCTCATCATCCTATCCATCTCTTACACGGCTCCATCCCTCTCCTATTCAGCCTCCATTCCGTCATTCTGTTCATCTCCTACTCCGCCAAATTTCTTTATCCAACCCATCTCATGCTCCGCCCCATCCCATCATCCCGCCCCACCCCATCACCCCATCTATCTCCTACTCTTTCCCCTTACTCAATCATCCACACCTGTGTCCCTTTGCATGTGGTACACATTGTAATGGGCGTGTGCATACGGTACAGGAGTGTACAGTTTTTACATGTACATGAACATTACACCATACATGTACGCTATTCAAAAGTCTGGGGTTCGATTTCTTTATTAAATATTGTGCACATGCATAAAAACTACATTTCAAAGCAATGATCCCACAGATTGAAGATTGAAACAAACAAGCACAAATGACTCATACTATTACCCATTACCCGCAAGTAAAAACGTTAACGTTATAGATGGCCGGAAACAGTGACGGACTTCCGCCCCGACAGGCAGATGGACAGACGGATAGAGATTGGTATTACATAGGTTCGCATTTGCGTCGCAGCTCGCCAAAAGGAAGCGGGCTTAGTTTGAACAAACTCAAATGCCCTCGAGTGAGGTCATTCGATTACAAACCGTTCTCAAATTTCTCTGATATGGACCGCTCACATTTTAATGTTAATATAAAATGTAAATGTACTCATGGCGCGCAACACCGTGCCGCACTGCACAAGGTGGAAGGGGAACAAGTGACGAACCACTGTTAAGAACTTTTCTTTTCATCATTGGCGGGTCAAAATCTGCAACAAGGTCAACCCAACGCCTTGGTCAAAGCCAACATTTATTTTATCATTTAGAGGAGATAACATCTCTCAAAATGGCTTTAAATGATTTTGAAAACTTGAAAAACTTGAAAGTCTTTTTACTTCGTCTGAATGAAGGTCATCCAACAATTTTCAAGCGAAATTGCATTTCTCTTTTTACGTTTTTAACCTGTCACTAGAGGGCTCACGGGTATCAGTTTCTGATATTAAACATTAAAAATTAAAGCTGATTTCAAGGAAGAACAAAAATATAAAACTTTCATTTGAAAGGTTCTCAACCAGACCCCTATTCGAAAAGAATGCCAAAAATGTTTCTTGTTTAGTTCAATATATGTACACGTACTTGCACTGTATACCAAATGTAACAATTTGATACTGGAATTATAAAGTAACACGACCGCTTTGTACACAAAACCAATACACAGCAGAAAAACCTTAAAATGTAGTTAATAAAACAGGCATCAATAAGACGTCAAGCAAGTAAGCAGGCTACCATGTTTTTTAATTTTCATAAAGCTTGCTTGCAGAACTCAACAGGGGGCTTTTTTTACTCGGGTACGTGATTAAACAGTTTGTGTCTGTTTTTCTGCAAGGTTCTAAGAAATATAAGTTAAGAACATGATCTAAGAAGATGGAGTGACTGTGGCAGTTATTTAAAATGAACTATTATTCAAACAGGAATTTCACAGCTCAAGTGCATAAACACATATAGGGCACAAAATTTGAAATCAAACAGGACACAAATTTTAAAATGAAACATGTTGAATTTAGGATAAACAATAGTCGTCTTAAAGAAATGGCACAGCTTCACTGAAGATTTTCATTTTTCAAGGTCCTCTTCAAGCAAGTAAAGCTACACATTTGCTATCTCTGCAACCAGTCCAAGTGTGACCAAGATCTGAACAGACACAAAGCCAAGACGCTGAAGAAAATTTGCCAAGCATAGACAACGTTCTGCTTAACCCTCCTATGGAAAGATGCATTCTTGACAAAGTTGTCCTATCAAATGACAACTATGTGTCGGTATACTGTGGCAAATCAATGATTACTGCCTGAAATATCCCGCAATGTGTCTTGCTTGTGACTGCTTATACATAAAAAATTATCATCTAATTTATATTGAACACAAATACCTGCTGAGAAATAATTTTACACTCAGCATAAGGCTAGCTGATCTCCAATCAATTAGCCATGGCTCTAACTCTGGATATATAAAGCCTTGTTTCCATCGAATTTATATCGGAGAGTGAATGTCACTGTGTCATGATCAGCTGTCAGCAGTCTCATTAAAAGACTCCAATTTAACTAAGCACTATCGTAAGTTTAGGAGAAGAATGCTGAATGCAGTCTCACATCTTTCATCAGTTTTAACTCACAAGGTACTCCTGGTTTCGACGGGAAGGAAGGGTAAGGTTATTTTATATACACCGAAAAATGAAGACCTAAATTTACTCCATTTCTTGCTGCAAAAGGCAAGATGAGGTATCTGACGGTTTAATTTTATGCATATTTTAAAGATTAAAACTTTAGTTACTTGTCGAGATATCATCAGAGTAATATGCATCATTACGGTTCAGGGCCAGAATCAGGGTCAGGTCGCGATCAGTTCATACCTTAAATAGTTTCGATTAAAAAAAAAGACGCGTAGAATTCGTGTCCAGAAAAAAAATGTAAAGAGACAGAAAGAAACAACGATTAATACAAACAACTTTAAAGAGGTATCTGGGTTGCACCTGTTTACCTAATGAGCTCATACCAATACCAATCGGCAGGCAGCTTGTAAACAGTTCAGGATATTGACACTGAAACCTGGTACATGCACCAACATAAACCTTGATGTCCAATATGTATGGTTTCATGACGTCATTGTGCGTCCAAAAATTATGGAATACAAATTATTTCAGCTCTGGATTAGAAGAAGTGTTTTCAACTATACTGTGTAACTTTGAACTGAGGGAGGGAGCACGTTCCTATTTTGAGACTTAGTAAACAAAATTGTGGGCGACATTGTTGATTGTTGCATGCATTAGCCAAAATGCACTTTTGGGCTGAGGTTTAAAAAGTGGAAGCGTCCCAGCTTATTTCCCTCAGAAAACAGATGCAACTGAAGCCAAATATTGCGGCATTGTATATTTTGTTTTGGGTTTTTGTTGCTCTTTTATATTGCACAGTCCGTCTTCCAAACAAAAACAAAATGGTTTAACAGGGTGCAAAGTAACCTCAAATCCATAATCTCAAAGCCAGATGCTGAAGTACGTAAACAAACTGCCAACAGAGGGTTTCTCTCCGGCAATCAATATACCCACCAAGTGTCACCGATCAATGAATTAAACATCCCTTGAACTCAGACTTTTCGTATGCCAAATACCGTTGATTATTTGTTTCGCGGGCATGAATCGATTTCCTATAGAAAAACTAAAAATTTTTGGCAGTCGAGTTGAAAAAAGGTCTGCACATTTCTTCTATGTTTGACTGGAGAACTACCGGTACATGTTTGAAGCAACGGCTATTTGTGGTAACAAAAGTTTTTTACAATTGAGTTTCTGCTATCTTTTATGAACTTTCTTTCATAAACTGATTCTTCTTTTATACATCATCCTATTGTATGTATTTGGTTCTCTGATGTGGTTAATATCTATGGTTTCAAATTTCCCCCAGAAAAACAAAAAACATAAGCGAAACCACAAATTTAAAAACGACAAAACCAACCATAAAAAAGTCATCAGATATTGCACAATCCGATGTTCGAGACCCTCAGTAGCATTTTCAACAATAAATTGATAACCCGGTCGCAGAAAAGAAAGCACGTAATGCTAGACAAGGGTGGATCCAGGGCAATTGTTTCGGGAAAAACTTGTTGAAGGGCAAAAATCTTGACCTTTTGTTAAGTATTAACTTTCTCGGGGGAAAGGCAAAACCTTGAGACTTTTAAACGCTTTTGAAAGATAAGGAAATAAAATACATCAAAAATCGCTTTTCTCCTTTTTCCCTCCATTTTGTTTCCGTTGCCCCTTCTCCTGAGTCTACCCTTGGTTCCAGAAAAATGATTGGTGCATAAAAGGAAATCTGATCAGAAAACACTGCACGAAGTAGAGTTAGTCTTTATTTGTTCATACAATTGTTTGCAAGACTACCAATTAGTCTTAAGTTCGACATACATGACCCTTGTTCGACTAAGCTTCAAACGAAACTTATTTCTTATCAATATGTGGATCAAAATGACGTCAAATTTAGCTGGTTAAATATTCAAGCCTTTTTATCGTTTGGGGGAATATTTTGACTTTGAAGGAATGGATATACAGCGAAGATACCTTGATGTTACTCTGTTTATCTTAGGGTTTCAGTCAGTTGTGGTTCACAGTTTTTGCGCTCATTTTAGATTATTATTTTCGCTGCTGGTGATGCATGTAGCTGGAGGTGCCTATTCATGCATTTCTCTTCTAAACAGAAATTTCTGGATTTATCCCACAATTTCCCGCCCCATGCAGTTCAGTTCCATTTACCTTTTGATGTACGTGGACTGCCTCTCCTCGATGCTGGTACCGAAGATGTTGTTCAGGAGATGTTTTTCGGACACGTCGTACTCAACCTTCTCGATATAGTAGAGCTTTTCAATGCATTCCTTCGTCGGTTTTTCTGGCACTGCAACACAGCTGGGTAATGAAACAGACGGAAGCAGACCTAGATTTTGTACAGATTGTTAATGCTTACACACGATACCAGTCCCTGCGCTTTTGCAAGTGCATTTACATACAAGTAATGCCAGTATCCCCTTCAATATAACCAGTCCAAATTTATCAAGAGGTGTGTTAAAACAAATGTTAATACACGGTTAAGTTGCACGTTGTTAAATAGGTAGACTGTCTAAGGTATTCATGAATTGAAGATGAGTTAGTAGAGAGAGGGGGGGGAGAAACTGATGCCTGCATGATTTACAGAGCTCCGTTGCTATCTTTGGTAGCAATACATGTACATCGTCGGTCTCGTTAATCATAGCGTTTCGTTTACAGTTAGTTTCGCCTTTCCGTTTGATAATTTCACCATTCAATGACAATTTCGCCATTCAATTCGTCAATTTAATTGAACAGGTCATTTATACCGTTTCATTTTGCACTTTCACTATTATTTCTGTTATTTGGCACGTTCGCTATTACATTCGGCAATTTCACGATTCAATCCTCAATGCGACCTTTTCAACCAACAACTTAACTATCCTCTAAGGCAATGTCGTTGTTCGCTTCGGCTGTGCACCATTCAATTTTGTAGATTCACAGCTTGATTCTGTAATTTCACTTTCCAATGTGGCAATTTTGCCATTTCGTTGTTCAGTCTCAAATTTCCGTTCTACAAATTTATGAATGCGTATCAATTCATCTTTCCTCCCTGCTGTTCCATTCTGCAAAAAAACTACTTAAATTTCCCTCGTTTGCGAGTTTGTGTAGATTAAAATGACGGTTTGTTTCAAACAGTTCTAGAAGCACGCACAAAGAAAAGAATATCACTTTTATTTTAACTAAAAGAAATGGCTCCAGAACCGCACCTGCATACCACTGATTTCCGGGAAATAGAAATAAAGGCAATTTAAAGACAGTACTAACAAGGGAGATTTAGAGAGCAAAGCGGCTCTAACAGTGAGGCCTGCGTTAAACGTCGTGCTTCCACGGTGTTGAACTCAAATGCTTTAAACTTTTCTTTTCATTGCGGAAGAAGCACGACGTTTGACGCAAAAGATTTAATACGGTCGTTTCACAATAGTGCGCCACCAAAAGTTTCCAACGCGTTGGCCAATCACAGTGCGCGAAATTTGTCGACCCAATGCGCGTTTGGAAAGGGTCGACAAATTTTGCGCGTTATGGTTGGCCAACGTGTTACAAACTCTTGGTGGCGTGCTATTGTGTCCTTACAAAAACCGCAAGAGGTGAAATGGCTGAGGCTTTGGACATTGTCGACAAAATTTTAGCAGATAGTGGCTCCAAAATATCCTTGGATGAAACTTCCTCCTCGTCCTCACCAGAAGAAAGTGATGAAGAATTAGTGGCGACCACATCATTCACCACATCGAAGCCACTGGGCACCCCAAGCCGAACTTCGGGTAGGCCTAAGGCCTTAAGGCCAGGTAGGCCTAAGTCCTACAGCATGTAGGCTACACAGCCTTGCAACTAGACACCCTAGTCTCAGTCATTCATATCATTATCATTAGGATGTATTACATTTTATAACCACTAGCAGGCTTGCCATATTTTTCCTGATGTCCCAAATGTGTCACGAATCCTAATTGCTAATCAAGGAAAAGGAAGGACTCCCATCTTTATTCTTTAAACCCTGAAAGATACTGTGCTGTCTCAATGCAGAGTAACTTGTCATGGTTTCCCAGCAGAAATTAAAAGATCACCCTCAATTAACTGGCATATCGTACGAAAAACAGAACACGCTTTTTTGGCAAAATGCCACTTTGAGAGTGCGAGTGTATTATAACCAAAGGTATGGGGAATCAAGATTTAGTTTACAGGCAGTGTGTGTGAATAGGCATTTCGGTCCAACCCAAATCAAGGAAGGCCCAAGTGTCACCACTTCAATAAACAGCTTAAAACCTACCCACTTTTGACATCCTACTTGACCGTGTTAACCTAATTCCCCGGGTTTTTTTTATATACAGTGATCCGATGTTTGGTATAAAGACTTTGTAAATATTGTTCTTATTAGTCCTAATATTATTCTTCAATAATGCAGGACTGGACGGCAAGCAACCTCCACTTACCAAAAGGCACTACCTGTGAACTGCACGGAACCGACTGGGTGTGGCCAAACTTTCAGTCATCTGTCACCCCTACAGATATTTCAACTCTTCTTCTGTGAAGCAATTCGGCAATTGTTGGTGAGAGAGACCAACCGATATGCAGATCAGACGCTATCTGCAGAATCCGCTAACTCTCAGTGTACTTGGATTCGAACGGACGTTCCTGAAATGATAGCCTTTGTCGCACTGCTGCTCTCGATGGGCATCAACAAAAGGCCTAGCTGCACAATGTCCTGGTACAGGTGGGAAGTTCTTCGAAGTCCTTTGTATCCGTCGACAATGTCTCGCAAACGACTTATGGCGCTCCTTCAATTTCTCCACCTTGCCGACAACACAACAACAAGACGACTCCCTCCATGACAAACTGTCTAAAGTTCGTCCGCTACTGGACATGCTAGTTCCGTTTTTTCGTAGCATCTATAAGCCTGGACAAAACCTCTCACCGGATGAGACTATGATAAAGTTTAATGGTCGACTCGGTTTTAAACAGTACATACCACGCAAGTTGGCCAAATATGGCTTGAAATGGTTTTCCTTGAACGCGTCTCAAACCGGTTACACATTGTGACTGGAAGGTGTTTACTGGATCCAAGGCCCCATCAGACCAAATCATCTCGCACTCTGTTGCGTACGCTGAAACCATCCACCCAACCTTACAGCATCAGGCCAACTTGTCGTCGACCTACTGAGAGGACTGGAAAACAAGGGACATGTTGTTTTCATGGACAGTTGGTACAGTTGGTAAGAGCCCTGCTCTTGTGCCCAAGTTGTCCCAGCTAGGGTTTGGAGCTCGTGGAATTGTTCGTTATACCGCACAAGGCATTCCAGACAGTGCAAACACTAAGAAGGTCTCTGAAGCGGGGCAACTATGTGTTGTTTGGCAGGACGCCAAAAAACTTGTAACAGTTCTGACTAATAATGGCGGTTCTGACGAATAATGGCGACTGCAAAAGTGACGCTAAAGACATTCTTTGCAAAAACAGTTCCACCGGACGTCGTACCATCCAAAGACCTGCCGTCGTCAACGATTATAATAAGTACTCGGCGGAAATTATTTAGCATCACAAATGTGTCAGTACTACACGGTGGTGGAAATGCGTTTTCTTCGCAATTCTTGACATCACTTTGGTTAAATTACAGCATCCCTATAAAGCGTCCGCTCACTAGCTTGGATTTCTGGGTCCAGGTCATCGATGAACTGCTATCTGCCTGCAGGACGAGCAACTCAACACCACATGCCCCTGAAACTGCACTCCTTTCAAGTGGACATTATCCCAGAAGAAATAGGCAAGGTCAAAAACGAAACCGTGTTGTTTGCAGTACCAGAACCCAACGTAAACAGACTCGTGTGATTTGTAAGAATTACCGGAAACCAATTTGTCTTATGCCATGCATTGAAACATTTTACAGTGTGCGTCAACATAGACTCGGGCAGTTTAGATTGTACCACCCTCAACCACCGCCCCCATTCCTCCCTTCTCCCACCCCCCCCCACCAATCCTTTAACGCAACATTGGAGGGGGGTGGGGCGACGGGGTGGCAGGCAAAGGCCTTCATGAAATCTGCGCCGAAACTCATGTGCCATAAATGTGGTGCCATCTCCAATCAGTCTTATTGTAGACAAGACTAAATGTAGCACACTCTTAAATAAAAGCAGTTTCTTCCTGTGATTTCATCAATGGTTCTTCATAATTTGGAAAGAGTTCCATGTGCGAAGTTCACTCATTTTCCTCTTCAGTTTTCAATTAATCCCCAGAAATCAGTTTCAGGTCAGAAAAGTCCATTTTAGCATTGAGAGAGTGCAGGCTTTTTCAATGAAAACACTTACAATTTTTCGGACTAGTCACAGGGGGGTTTTTGCACTGGGTGTAAAATGAACTTTGTATATGGAACTCCTTCCTATGATTTTTACCAAAACAACTTCAGTATGATATTTTCCTTATTGGATATCATTATTATTAGTCAATGGGGTGTCATTGCAAGAGTGGCCTTTCATGATCTCGACTGGTGTGGGCGCTATACACTAAAAGTTGCTTAATTGTGCCTGGCAAACAAAGGGAACTTGCATGTAAAATATGGTGGTAAGAAACCCATGAATGACCAAAGAGGTCTTGGGGTCAATAGGGTTAGTATAGAAAATTAAATCGGTCATTTTTATGCTAATTAAAGAACTTGGTGTGCTTTGCTTTGCTTTGCTTTGCTTTGCTTTGCTTTGCTTTGCTTTGCTTTGCTTTGCTTTGCTTTGCTTTGCTTTGCTTTGCTTTGCTTTGCTTTGCTTTGCTTTGCTTTGCTTTGCTTTGCTTTGCTTTGCTTTGCTTTGCTTTGCTTTGCTTTGCTTTGCTTTGCTTTGCTTTGCTTTGCTTTGTTTTGTTTTGTTTTGCTTTGTTTTGCTTTGCTTTGCTTTGTTTT